TTTGCATTTTTTATTCCAAAATATTTATCTGCTTCCAGCTACTGTGAGATAAGCTGTGTACAACTTTATTGCTGTTCTATAGCCTAAAGGTTACTGTGGGTTTTTTTTTCTTTTATAGTACTGATATCTACCTAAAAAGCTTTATGGCCTTCTGGAATAGGGTATCATGCATGAAGAACTACTCTTTCATTTGTTATGAATGTTACAAAAAATTACTGATACGAGAGGATCCCAGTTTAGTGAAATAGAAACATAAGCAGTAGTAAACTGTGACTTTAATCTACAGTAACGCTGTAGAAGAGCTGCAGTATATTGTGAAGTTTAGGACTAGAATGGAAGACTCCTGTGGCTATTGTTGCTTTTTAAAAAAACAAATTTATTCTTTTATGGAAAAATACTAGTCTGGTGATTGAACACTTTATTTAAGAAAAGAAAAAGAGAAACACAATAGCAAAAAAAAACCCCAAAACCCAATCAAAAAACCCCTAGCTAAAAATTTTAAATTATATTTGATATTTATGGAGCTCTTCCACTAGAGGGTGGCAGTGTCTTTCCTTTGGTGTAAGGCTGTGCCTGTGGAATCTTTTCTGTGTGGACTTCTCTGTGTGTACACATACTTTATTTAAGAAAAGAAAAAGAGAAACACAATAGCAAAAAAAAACCCCAAAACCCAATCAAAAAACCCCTAGCTAAAAATTTTAAATTATATTTGATATTTATGGAGCTCTTCCACTAGAGGGTGGCAGTGTCTTTCCTTTGGTGTAAGGCTGTGCCTGTGGAATCTTTTCTGTGTGGACTTCTCTGTGTGTACACATTGATAACAATAATAGAGTATATAAATGAAGAATGAGTTTAATATGATATCTGGGATATATGTAATAGTATTACAATTCTTACTATAGGCTTTTCTATTTCAGGTTACTTATGTTTGGATCCTATGAAAGAGAAACAAATGTTCATTGCACAATGGAGCTGAGCAGTAATGTTTGGGAAGAAAAATCAAGAAGTTCTATTAAAACGGTAAAAAAGGGTATAACCGTTGCATATTGCAGTATGTCTTAGCTCTTAATACATTGTCTAGAAAGAGTGTATCTTTGGACAATCAAATGGGTGATATAGCAGAAAAAAAAAACACAACCAAAACATAACAGACCTGTTATATTTACTTTTTAATCCAAAGTATTTCACTGTCAAATTGACATGTATGGATAACATCATGTTCAGTTACCACAACTGTGCTTGAAAATGTACCTGGTTTGAATATATTGTCAACTGTCTGTCTGCATTAAAACAAATAGTGTAAAATATGCATTCTTATAGTCCTGTTATGTTTGGTTGGGGCAATGTTTAGAAAACAGTGAGTAAGATTCACCTGTCTTTCACTGGCCAGTAGTGTATTCCCTTCTGATGTGAGTGTTGAAGACGTGTGTGATCAGAGGGAGCTCGTGACTGACTTCCTTTTCCCCTGCATTTTGTGAAAATGTAGGCAATTGCCATAGCTCTCTAACTTTTTTAGAGCATATGAATCCTGCCCTGTCTGCTAAAGAAAAACACTTCTACAAGTGTCTGCAAATACAGAAAGTAGTATTGGTGGTATTGTAAGTTAATGTTTTACTGATTATCATACTTGATAACATAAGTTTAGCAGCATACAGCCTACAAATTGCTTTTCTTTTTTTGTGTGTGTGTAAGGATGAGGGTTACCTTTTTTTCCTCAAACAAGAGGTGCAATGTATGAAAGCCTTTCAGTTTCACATCAGAGTGATATTGTGGCAACCGTCAAGTTGAATTGAGCTTATGCTGAGCAATAAGTAATGTGCCTACTGGGGGGGAGGGGGGAACCCACCAAAAGCTAAAAGCTTTAAAAAGACTTTAACAGTTGATTTCATACAAAGAAATCACTGGAACAAAAATCAATGTCCAGCGTTTTACCCTTTGCTATCTGAGTGCAACTAGCTTAAGCCCTGTGCCTTTGTTATATCTGACTGGACTTGTGTTTGGAGACAAGCATCGTTTTTCCACTGGAGCAGCAAGAATCCAGAACTTCAGCATCTCATTCAGTTTCTGCAATAAAATTCCACTTTACATTGTTTTTAAAACTCCTTGTGATAAATGCTATGATGCCTGTTTTCAGCTTACTGTTTATTATGTTTTGCCAAAAAGGGTGTATGGCTGAGCAACAGACAGAAAGCCTCTTTTTGTTGTCTTAGCTGCTGTATTCTTAGTCAAACGAAAAACTTGAAGGGAGGGTAGAGGTTCACCTATGCTCTCTTAGGAACCTGTAATGCTGCATGGCAATTAGCTTTCTGTGTGTGGCAGAGAAATGACAAGTGGGGAGCCTGCAGCTGGAGTGCAGACCGAGAAACTGCAGGGAACTTTCTCAGAGCGTGGTTTGGCAGCGAGACATCATAGAAACCGATGGCAGCTCAGGACTATGTTCTCCAGAGTTGTCTCTGTCTTGGCCCCCTCTCTACCTGCTCTTAACACAGTCAGTGGTGTTTATGCGGTTGTGAGTTAGCCATTTCAACTCCCTGAATTGGCTTGCTGCATGATAGCTCCAGTGTCAGTGGAAAGGAGAAAGAAGGGTGGGATGGCAGCAGCTTCAGCTAGTTTAAGCTGCTGAAGGATGGCACCACCAGAGGTGATGGCATAAAGCGTTCCAGTGGTCCTGAGAGGAATTACTGAGTTTGCTTAATTCTGGAGGTTGCTAGACTTCACTGAAGCACTAGGCAGGAGGTAGATTTGAGTAATTTATTTTCAGACCTTCTTGTTTAATCTGTTTTATGCAGCAGTTTTTAATTTTAACTTTTTCTGGTTTGTTTTAATATAAAGGTTTAAGCCTCTTTGCATGATCACATAAGGATAAGGTAGGAGCAATTCAGCCTTAGTAGTCTGGCCAGTTCATAGTTTTAACCCTTTCCTAATAATAATAAATATTTCAAAATTTTCAAGAAACAAGCAATACAGCCAGGGTTCAAAAAAAACCCAAAAACAAACCACCACCAAAAAACCCGACCAATTTTGTGATCTGGACCAGATCCTGCTAATACTTACCCATGTGAATGACCCTTTTGTTGCGATAAGCTGCATATGAAACCATGCACAGGGCTGCAGGGTTGATGCTCTACCGATGACAGTGTCAGTAAACTGATTTACCATTATGCTTCTCTGGACAAATTAATCTGTGTTTATTTTTGGATAATTTTGAGTAGCAATGTTGGAATATATTCTTTTACACTAACAACAGAAGAGGAAAGAAAAAACACTCTGCAGACAGTGTGGCACTGGTGTGTTTGTGACAGCAGATGGCAGTAGGACTAAACTGATGGAGGGTGGAATAGCTCCTTTTTAAAAAAAAAAAACCTACAGAAAAGTACTCAGGGTGAGGCTCTCAAGAACTCATCTTCTGTTTGAGCATCTAAAATGAAATGGCAGGTCTTTAAAATTTCTTAAGCTTTTGGAAATCTGGCCTGCAGTGTACAGAAAGGTTTTCTATGCATCTGTGTTGCAGTCCTTCATTAAGCATAGGTCAAACACACCCTGCCAGAGAGCAGAGATTCCTTGATTTGAGCTGCTGCATCTCTAGCTCTGCTGTCAATATGAAGCATTCACTGTGTGCAACCACCTTGAACTTTAGGCCACTAGATAGGCAGCCTAATTTTAAGATCCTGCTTTTGAAAATCTTGATATGGTAGAATATGGAAACTGAAAATTAGCAACTTGCAAAACTACTTTTTGCTTCCCAACTTATATTCAACAGATGTAGTGAAATCATGGAAGCGTCTTCCTTAGGAAATCAGATCTTGCTGATTTCCTCTGACAAGAGTGTTGCCAAAGACCCCTAACAAAATAAGAAGTGTTGCTAACACACTTAACATTGGAGTTTAGTTATTTTTCTGAGAAATGATAACTGTGTGAATAGTTAAACAGGAAGCCTTAAAGAAAAGACGTTGTGATATTTTCCAAACAAAAAGTTTACTTGTATCATTGATCATGGATTTTTAGCTCTAATGCAGTGCTAACCACAAGGCAGCTGATCACAATACTTAATATCTTTCTAATATGAAATCCTTTTAATGCCCACGTGTGCAATAATTATTTAAGATGAAGTTGTTAGACTTAACTTCAGAAACTATGGAGGAGAAATGATAGACCAAGTTGAAGTAAAAAGTAGATAAATTTGTGCTGGTTTAAAAGCATCTAATTTATAAGAGCCTCATACATCCTCTGATCCAGACTATGTTCTACAACGGTCCCGAGGAAAATTCTCATAACTTTCTATACTTCCTGGCATTTTCATTTGTTTTATTATGTTAGTAGTAGTGATAAAAGATTAGACAGGTTTAATACTTCATAATGAATTTTGGTGAGACTTTAATCTGATCCCATTATTTATGGAATATTAGTAAATGTCAAAATTGGTTTTGAAAAAAGATGCTGTGTTATTGAACATATCTGGAGCATTATTGAAGTGTCTGTTACAATACAAAGGTTTCTCAGGCTTCTAAGCTGTTTATCAAATCAATCTGAAACACCAATAAGACTTCAGAGAGGTGATTTGGCACATTCCCATGTGACACATGTAAACACCTAACTATCTTAAATCCAGCAGCATGTACTACTAATTAACATTAATCACTGCATTGCTATGCAAAACTTAATTATGTATGGATAGGATGTAGTAATTAGACAGCATTAGCAGCATTGGATTACTAGACAGGTGTTCTATGACTAAATAATTAGATATGTCTAAATAATTAGATATATGTTTGTAGATATTAAATGGAGGCTGTGTCATAAATGTGAATGGTTATGTCCACTGAACTGCCAGTTAGCAACAGCAGATTGATTTCTACAACCAAAAAGAATTGTTCTATTTTTCCTTGGAGCACATTTGTTTAGAGCAGGCCCCTGGCCTTGTTACACTTGGTGAGAACCTTGCTCCTGACTTTACCTGTGCCAGCACTTCATGTATAGTGTTGTGAAAGAATAATGTAATTTTTCAGCAGAAACTGAAGTTGCTCTATGAATAAAAGGAAAATATAGTCTGCCTACCTTAAAAGTGGTAGAAGAGTGGACATACTAATACCTCAAGGTCATTTCGAAAAAGAATAGTGTAATTTTTCAGCAGAAACTGAAGTTGCTCTATGAATAAAAGGAAAATATTCTGCCTCTACCTTAAAAGTGGTAGAAGAGTGGACATAGAAATGACCTTGAGGTATTAGTAACAGAGAGGTTAGCTTTGCAGCTGTAAGTACCCCTTATGTTGCCTATGCAATGCCTTGACTGCTCTGTGGATGCTCGGCTGTCCAGAGTGTGGTGAGTGCTGGCACTTTCCTCTGGTTCCAGCAGTGCAGAGAAGAACGAATCAAGGGTATAGTTGTATAGGAATGAGAACCTCGGTTCATATGAACTGCTCTACATATCTTGGTAGTCATGTTGCCTTTCTTAGGTACTGATTCTTTTTGACGGATAAATTTTCTACAATTGTAGAAACTATTGCAAATAGACTGTTATCTTCTGATACTCTTATACCCAGGAAGCATGTACAAATTGTAAATGTTTTGTGGGTTTTTTTTATTGGTTGTATGAATGTAAAGTAATGGGGGAGAGGTGCTCAACTGCAAAACTAAATGTATCCGTACCAAGTTTTCTTCTAAGTCTGTCTTTTTTTTTTTTTTAATAGAAGTTCAGAAGCGCAAGAGAATCGTTATTGATCTTGAAATAATCAAGTTAGGTAATCTAAGAAAACACCTTTAAATTCTGGTTGCAACTAATACGTTTTCTGAGGTGGTACTGTAGGAGTAGCCACAGTTTTGTATTCCTAAAGGTAGTAAGTGGTGGTGTTTTTGTTGGCGGGTGGTTTTTTTTGTTTGGGGTTTTGTGTTTGTTTTTTTTTTTTGAAACCCCTTCTGTAAATACTAACTTTAGCAATACAGAAACTGCATTTCATGTTCTGCAAAGTAAAAATTTCTATCTAAAATGCCACATCTAATAGCCCATAGGACTTTACTTTTGCA